AGAGAGAGAGAGAGAGAGAGAGAGAGAGAGAGAGAGAGAGAGAACGCACCCTGAAAAGGAACGTATACAAGGTATGTTTCCGGCCAGATACAGTCAGAATCAGGGTGCGTTGTGCTCGGGGGAAAAAACGGTCAATCACTCAATGGATCGATCGGCTGGCTGATCGTTAACACTCTGGTCGCTTTCATTGCAAGAAAATGCGAGCAGGTAAAACGGAATCGTCATGGATGAATCATCATCCCTCTCGTCCTCGTTAGCATACGACCACCCGTCTTCCCCCGACTAGAACGTACCGTCATTACAGTTGCATTTGGTGCAACTTTCAGTCTAGATACAGCGACAATGACCGTACGTTCTATTCGCGTGAAGATGCCAGCATCCTCACCGTCCGCGCCAATCATCCATCGTCATCATCAATATTCTGAACACTCAAGACAAGATATGACGACGATCATCTTCGTAGTAAACTTTTGCACGGAGGAGGAGGAGGAGGAGGAGGAAGTGCAGGGGGAGGAGGAGGAGGAGGAGGAGGAGGAGGAGAACATCTGTCACTTCCACAGTACGATTGGTCTCCATATCTGCATCTGATTGGAAGCTAATCATCATGCTCTTGTGATGATGATCCGGCAATGATGATCCGGCAAGTGGACTTAACCTGTCACAGTGACGAGTGGTGTTTCGTCATCATCACTATGCGCCTCGATCCACTACTCTATAGACTCTCGAAAAATTTGAGAGTAGCGCCTCGCGACATTTACTACAGTAATAGATTTGTACATAATCCAAACAAGGCAGCGCGAAAGAGGCTGCCGAGCGGAGAAAGGGATTTGAGAGAGAGAGAGAGAGAGAGAGAGAGAGAGCCCGCTCAGCTTGTACGACTCCGTGCCCTCCCATCTGTTGTCCTCACCTTGCATGTAACCATCCACAAATCGAGCGATCAATACATTCGCTAACATCCGTCCACGTGTCCGTCGGTCGTTCATCGATGTGTCATTCTATTTACAACGACCATCTGCACCTGAATAGAACGCCTGGTCGCTGCAACCATCCGTGAATCGAGCGACCAATCTATGAATCGAACGACCAATCCATTCATCCATCGACCAATCCATACGTTAACATCCGTCCACGTGTCCATCGGTCGTTCATCAATGGGTCATGCTTTTTACGTCTATCATCTGCACCTGATTAGAACGCCTGGTCGCTGCAGCCATCCATAAATCGAGCGACCAATCCATGAATAGAACGACCAATCCATGAATCAAGCGACCAATCCATATACTGACATCCGTCCACGTGTCCGTCGGTCGTTCATCCATGGGCCATTCTATTTACATCCACCATTTGCACCTGAATAGAACGCCCAGTTGCCCCAAATTACAGCTATAAGGACCGTGCGTTTTATTTGGGGGAAGACAGTGGCATATAGTATTGCGTTAGAGTTTGTCTATCAGTCCGCGTTCCAGATGGTCACCCTGCCTGCGATCCGCGAATCCTTTTCGCGGATCCGTCGATTCGACACTTACAGTATGTAAATCTCAACCAATTTCCACCAATCGGCGCATCCAACGATCGGTCCATGTGGCCTTTCTTCACCACAAAACCACATGCACAGACGACAAGAAACATGTCGGTGTATCTTTCCATCTTCTAGCGGAAGATTCATTCTCATTTTCACATTTGGTGACTAGTAGAGTGAGGCCCATAAGCTCATGTCAACGAATCGTCGCCGTCCTTCCTTGATTCATCAGCATCAATGAATTGTCGCCGTCCGTTCCTTGATTCATCAGGATCAACGAATGATCCATCAGGATCCATATACCACCTATGATGTGTCAGCAGTCCATCGTCTACGCCCCTCCGGTCGATAGCCATTTTTTTTTTTTTTGTTATGAGAAATAGAACTTGAAATGTGAAATTCGAATATTGTGGTGCATCTGACAGGAACGCTTTTGCGTCTGTCGATGGTCTGCTAAAGGCATCATGAGATACATCGCGAGGAATGTATCCCAATACCCGCTACTTGTTCATCCTCGTGAATGTGTTCGTGGACGCATTTTATTGCCATGGTACATCACTATGAAGACTAACTTGAAGGAGATCGTACCAACCCATGAATTCGGGTGCACAGGATGACACGCATAAATCGATAAATCGAGAAATGGTCCAAATTAAAAAAAAATAAAATAAAAAATCTCAGAAAGTCCTTCCGGACATTGGAACGATACAGAGAAGATTAGCATGGCCCCTAAATCGAGAACGAAAATATCTCCTTCGGGACATCACTTAAAATTGGAACGATACAAAGAAGATTAGCATGGCCGCTGCGCAAGGCCTTTCTCAGAAGACCCCCTACCGTTTTCTTACATTGTCGACAACAAATTTTCTTTCCTTCAACAGAAAATGTATACAAAACGGCATTTTCCATAGTGGCAGATGCATCCACGTTCGGCCGTATTTCCGCTGCTCTTGCTGTTGATTTCACACACACACACACACACACACGATCCCGCTGCTCTTGCTGCTGATTGCGGGGAGAGAGAGAGAGAGAGAGAGAGA